ACTGGCCAGTGTGCACCTGTACCACGCAGAATGTGCCACATTAGACGTTCCCATCCCATTTTGCCCACAATGGCACCCCTTACAATGCTGAAGTGCACAGACCGACCTGGGAAACAAACCTGTTTCGCAAGTTACTTTTCCGAAAAGGATTTTGTACTAGGCAGTGTGCCCTTCTAACGGAAAGGGTGTGCCAAATCGGGCAGAACCAGAACATTTCAACCACAATAGCACCCTCTACGATGTTGTAGTGCACAGACAGGCACAAACATCTGTGACTTTGTGCACACACCGATAGTGTACAGTGCATATGCGAATCCACGTGAACCCTAAGATCTTGAGTAAATTAACAACAGAAAACCAAAAAACAAAATAGCACCTGCGTCCAAAAGGGTGTGACATAAATATTTTAGTGGCCCCCGCGCAGGGCAACGCTTGAGCACGTACTCGTGTGGGTTTGTGCACCTGTTTAAATATATAACATCTAAATCCGCATAGAGTGTAAAATGGAAGACCCTTTGATTAAGACAAAATGTGCTAGATGAATAAATAAAATAAGCTCCCTAGTACCATAAGCCTAAATACCAAACTAACAAAGTTTAATAGATAATGATCTAGATACACACGAATAATTTTATCTATGTTTGACACCTAGAATCACGATATTCCAATGCAGTTCGAATGTTTTCTGAATGGCGTATGTTTAACTCAACCGACAGAATCTGACGCATATAACTTGCCCTCAATAAATCAAGGCCCCTACTATCGCCCTTGCGCAGACCACAATCCCACACATTCACCGATTGCCCCACGAAGGTCTCCATGTGCCGCATAGCAAAGACTCCACAATCCACTTTGTTAAGAGCATCCCGCCACCGCATCTGCATTTTCCTAGGGATAATCCTATGTACAACTACCACATCATCAAGGAACACGGACAAGAAATCTTTCTGTCAAAGCGCACACAACGTTAGTAAGCCACAGTTTAAATGTGCACAACCAAAAAAACCATGCTGGTGGGCACAAGTGATGGAACATTAAACATACGCTGCACTGCGCTGCCAACATGAGAACTTCTTACGGGCATTAAAAAGTATGCGTGCAGAGCACCTCGTCTTCAAACTCTCGAAACGAGCCGCCTCCTCAGGAGTCAACTCATACTCGGAAGCTTCAACATCATCATCCACCTACCCAGGTGCCACAACCTCAGCCTGAAACTCTGGACAAAACCAAAAGACAACATATCGGGCCTGAAATGCACACACATAAGAACAAAACTGCACATAGCAAACCCAACAACCCACGAACACACCATAAGGGCACACACGTAAGAAAAAAACTGCACACTAACAAAACCTATTACCATTATAAAGTCTGATACATACACCGACCACTACACGCATCAACCTACTGAGATGCCACACAACACCAATACACACACATATAATACCCCACCCCCACCTAATTTATTTTTGAAACTACTTCAACATACTTCTTTAACAGGCTCAAACTTTAAACACATAGGACTCTCATCAAGAAACCCGATATTAGAGAATTATTCGGAGAAATGAATGATGTACATGCTAAATATTTACTCTGTAAAAACATTATTACTATTAAATATACTAACACAAAAACGTGGATAAACTATATAGGATCTATAAATAGCCAACCTACAAATTAATAAAAAACATGTTAAACATAATACTATTTCAAATGCGACAACTAATTTCAAAATTAAAAAAAAAAAAAGAAAACATATACCAAGTCCACATAAACTAATAGACTAAAGTCCACTCTGAAATACTATGAACGCACACGCGAATAATCACAAATGCACACAGCAGCCAAACTCCAACACACCACAAGGGCACACACTGATGTACAAAAATACACACACTGTAATGAAAACCCCCCATAGTAACCGGCAAAAAAAAAAAAAAAAAAAAATCCCCGCAACACTGCCCCCGACCTCCCAACAGCCACCTACACTGGACGGCAACCCCACACCCAAACCCACCATACCAGTCTTTCATTCCATTCTTCTGTTGCCAATCAAATCCCATAAATTGCAGCTAGAAATAAACCATCCTTATGCCTCCATTTCAGGAGTCATCACTTACTGCCTTAAAATGCTTCAGATTGCATCAGATTAATTCAACATCACCCTTCCAGCCTCATGAAAGTCAAATCTTCCTTTGATCCACCAAACTAGGTGGACCATTTTCTTTCTTCAATCAAATCTGTAACCATACACCCATTTAACGAAATTCAACTTCAGCAGGCTCTCAAGCAATTGCAGCAGCCTTCCCTTACTCAAACTGCACAAAAAATTTTTAATTAGGCAATTTTAGCCCCCACACTGCCCAGCTTTACTCAAAACTTGGGAGTGTCTCAAATGCCTCTAGCTTCCCAGAATTTTAAAAGATTGCATCATCCATGCCTTAGATGCAAAGCACTAGCAAACTGTTGGGAGCATTTAAAAGGAAAGGCTTCCTTTTGCCTATCCATGTTGTCCCACATTGGAAGTTTAGCCTCTTATTTCATTGCTTATATACTCCAAGTCTTTTCATCTACTTTGAAGTGTTATGAGAAGGGAAAAGAGGAAGACCACACGCGCGCCGCCGCCGCCGCCCGCCCGTCCGGCGGGGTCAATGTTTTGCTCTCAAACTCTTTTTTCTTACCCTATTTTTGTGGATCTTGTAATGACCTTGTCCGCACCACTCCATGAAGGAGTGTGCAGAGTTGGTCTACTACATGTTTCTAGCGCTACAAAGTAGGGTAATGGGAGGTGGTATGATGCTACAATTATGCTGCTTTGTAGTATAAATATATGCTGTTAGCAGGTTAGAAAATCGCAAGAAAGAGAGCAATACTGCATTCGAAAATACTGCTGCTGTTTCGAAACTGCTTCTTTCAACTTTCTTTCCGTAAGCTTGCATAATATAAATTGCCCGTGTTCGTTCTATTTTGCCGGTCGAAAGCATACGACTCAATCCCTGGTCGTGAATGTTTTTAAGGCAGTGTGATACACACGATACAGAACCGTGCCTTTGTCTTTTTCGCTCCAAAGCTTTCATCCGCAGTGTCTGCGACAAACACTGTGTCTGATATTGCTCCTATTCAACCACTCACTGGTGGTTTGAACTACAAGAGATGGGCTGCAAAATTAATCATGCTTCTGGAATCAAAGGATGTGGACTATGTCCTTTTTGCAGACCCTGCGAAGTTCAATGTGACAACTACGCAACTTGCACTGCAGACCACGGCTTCAACTGCTGCGACAGACCCGAAGTCGACAGATGGTACAGCTACTGCGGATGCTTCCACGGACCCGAAGTCATCATCAGTTCAAGATACATCTACGGTCGAGGCAGCTCGCATCAAATACGAAAATGATAACAAGACTGCCCGGACAACCATTCTTCAACGTGTAAGTGACCCGTTGTTTGATATGTTTTCTGAATATAAATCTGCAAAGGCAATTTGGGATTTAATGATTGAAAAATATGGGGCTGATGATGTGGGGAGACGCAAATATGCTGTGGGTCATTGGTTACACTTTAAAATGGTGGAAACCAAGCCTGTAATCGAACAGGTCCACGAGTTTGAAAATTTAGTCGGTGACATGAAAGCAGAAGGTGGGATTGTTAATGAAGTAGTCCTATGTGACTCTTTGACTGACAAACTGCCCGACTCCTGGGTGGACTTTAAGAATAAAATGGAACATGATCGAAGGAGCTACACACTGCAACAGCTAATCAATAGCGTGAATATCGAGGAGGAAAACCGCATGGTTCAAAGGTCTGTTTCTCTTACTAACAATGTTAAAGCTAATATTGTTGAAACTAACTCTGGCTTTGAGAAACCAAAACCTGGTGACAATTCTAGAAACCAAAAGAAGAATTATAAGAACAATAACTCCACTCGCGGCAAGGGTGGAAAAATTCAGAAAAAGGGGAACAATAGTGGTGAATGCTATGTGTGCGGAAAACGAGGCCACCGTGCTGCCCAATGCTATAAAAGCCATGGGTCTACGAGTCAGAAACCAAACAACGAGAAGTCGAAGAACCAAGTTAATCTGGCGGAGAACACAGAAGATGCTGATTTAGTAGCTGCAGTAGTAACTGCAGCCAACGTGGTGGAAAATCCAGACGAATGGGTTGTGGACACTGGAGCCTCACGACACTTTTGCAACAACAAAACTTCATTCAAAACCTTTGAGCCTATCACTGGTGGAGAACAAGTCATCATGGGAAACTCCAGCGTTTCCGAGGTAAGTGGTAGAGGAAAAGTAGAATTACTGCTTTGTTCTGGAAAACATTTATTGTTGCAAAATGTGCTTTATGTCTCTTCCCTTCGAAGAAATCTGATTTCCGGAGGCCTTCTTAATAAGGCTGGAATTAAGATGGTTTTTGAGTCTGACCGTTTGGTTATGACTCGTTGTGAGAAATTCATTGGGAAGGGATATCTGCGTGGAGGTCTTTTTGTACTAGATGTCTCTATAGTTAACAATAACTCTGATGTATCTGGCTCTTCTCTGAATGCTCGTGATAATAAGAATGCTTCTTTTGCTTATACCGCTGTATCAGTTAATGTTTGGCATGCTAGATTAGGACATGTTGGTGCAAAGTGTTTATATAGACTGAAAAACGTGAATATGCTACCAAACCTGTCTAATGATACATGTGAACAATGTGAAACATGCGCTGAGGCAAAATTTGCTAGAACATCCTTTTTAACTGTAAAGCATCGTTCTTCATCATTACTAGAATTGGTACACACTGATTTAGCAGATTTTAAAACCACTGAGAGTCGAGGTGGTAAACGTTATTATATAACTTTTATTGATGACTTTTCTCGTTATACCAAATTATATTTGTTGAGAACAAAATGTGAAGCCGAACAAAAATTTGTTGCTTTTAAAAATGAAGTAGAAAATCAGTTGGAAAAAGGGATCAAAAGGCTTAGATCCGATAGAGGAGGAGAATATGAATCAACTTTTTTGAAAGATCTGTGTGAATCTTTTGGCATTGTACACGAAGTAACTGCACCCTACACACCCCAACAAAACGGCATAGCAGAAAGAAAGAATAGAACTCTCAAAGAGATGATCAACGCCATGCTAATCAGTTCAGGTGCCTCTGATTCATTGTGGGGAGAAGCTGTTCTAACAGCTAACCACATTCTAAACCGAGTCTTACACAAAGGGTTTGAAAAAACCCCTTATGAACTGTGGAAAGGGCATGGGCCAAATCTTAAATACTTTAAAGTATGGGGTTGCCTGGCAAAGGTGGGATTTCCGTCCTTTAAAAGGCCCAACTTGGGACCTAAAACCTTAGATGCCATTTTTATTGGATATGTTGAAAATAACGCAACTTACAGGTTTATGTGTTTAGAAAACCGTACAATATGTGAATCTAGAGATGCAGTTTTCTTTGAACATGTGTTTCCCTTGAAGGGTGATCTTGAACTAGATACGAATAAAGTTCAACATAATCTATCTTTCCCTGATTTCTCATGTAATTTAGAAGAGCCTAGAAGAAGTAAAAGGCCTAGAACTGAGAAAAACTTTGGCTCTGACTTCATAACGTATATGACTGAATTGAAAGATCCAAATGAACTGTGTGATTGTTTTATATGTCAACTTGTGTTAGAAGAAGAACCAAAATCCATTCAAGAAGCCATGCGATCTGTAGACGCCACTCTATGGAAAGAAGCAGTCAAAAGTGAGTTAGACTCCATACAGTCTAATCATACGTGGGAAATCGTGGATTTGCCCAAGGGTTGTAAACCCATAGGCTGTAAATGGATTTTCAAGAGGAAATTGAGACCAGATGGTTCAATTGAAAGATTTAAAGCCAGGCTGGTAGCCAAAGGTTTCACACAGAAATTCGGTGAGGATTTCTTCTATACCTATTCACCAGTAACAAAGATAGCTACTATACGTGTTCTATTTGCTTTAGCATCTTTACACAGGTTGATAGTACATCAGATGGATGTAAAAACAGCTTTTCTAAATTGTGAACTAGAAGAGGAGATCTACATGGAACAACCCCCCGGATGTGTTGATCCAGGACAAGAAGGGAAGGTATGCAGACTTAAAAGATCTCTTTATGGCTTGAAACAAGCCCCTAAGCAGTGGTATGAAAAGTTTCACAAAACTTTGTTAGAGCTAGGTTATTCCACTAACCGCTTAGATGCCTGCTTATACACAAAAGAGGTAGAGTCTAGCATCGTAATAATCTGTCTCTATGTAGATGACATGCTTATCTTTAGCTCAAGTATAGGAGCTATAAATGAGACTAAAAGAACTCTATGTGACAAGTTTGATATGAAGGATCTAGGGGAGGCTGATGTAATACTCGGGATAAAGGTTACAAAAACTGAGAGAGGTTACCTTTTATCCCAAAGTCATTACACGGAGAAACTCCTGAACAGGTTTGAGAGTTATGAAGTAACTCCAGCTAAAACCCCCTATGATCCCAGCGTAAAATTATCAAAGAACATAGAGGCCAATGTGTCTCAAGAAGAATATGCAAAGATAGTTGGGAGTCTAATGTTCTTGATGAACTATACTAGACCAGATCTTGCATTTGCTGTGAATAAACTCAGTCGGTATACTCACAACCCTGGTATCTCACATTGGGATGCACTGAGAAGGGTACTTCGGTATCTAAGAGGCACAATAGACTGGGGCCTTAACTATAAGGGACACCCAGCTGTGCTCGAGGGGTTCTGTGATGCAAACTGGGTAAACGACGCTGATGATGTAAGCTCAACTAGTGGATACGTATTCACTATGTGTGGAGCCGCGATATCATGGAAGTCGACCAAACAATCCTGTATAGCCAGATCAACTATGGAATCAAAGTTCATAGCATTAGATCTAGCAAGTCAGGAAGTCGAATGGCTGAGAAATCTTTTGGCAGACGTGCCATTGTGGGGGTGCCCAGCACCTGCTGTTCCCATACATTGTGATTCCCAGACTGCCATTTGTGTTGCGTAAAACAGTGTCTACAATGGGAAACATAGACACATAAGAGTCAGACATGAGTCTGTTCGGCAGTTAATACTAAATGGGGTAATCACAATGGTCTTTGTGAGATCTGAAAGGAATATTGCAGATCCTTTCACAAAGGGCCTAAACAGAAAGGCCGTCCTTGATACATCAAGGGAAATGGGTTTGGGACCCATAGATACTCTGTAGCCAGTCATGGTGGTCTGCGTTGAGGTAGACTTGACAGAGTCGAAGGTCTATCCTAGAATAGACCTAACAGGGGATAGCTCAGGGTCAAGAGTATGACCTCACATATTTCAAGGCGACCAAAGCAATTAAGTGCATTAAGTTCAAGCTTTGTCTATTCGATGAGTTCAAGATCAAATTCACTCCCGTTTAGAGAAGTACTTAATGTCACTATATGACAGTTCAAGTTTTACACACTGGCAGGAAAATTTGTTTTGATCGTTCTCAGGCAATGCCAGCATCAGCCTAAATCCCTTTAATGGTGGGGGATTGTTGGGAGCATTTAAATGGAAAAGCTTCTTTTTGCCTATCCATGTTGTCCCACATTGGAAGTTTAGCCTCTTATTTCCTTGCTTATATACTCCAAGTCTTTTCATCTACTTTGAAGTGTTATGAGAAGGGAAAAGAGGAAGACCACGCGCACGCCGCCGCCCGCCCGTCCAACTCGGCACGTCACGACGCGCGGTGTGGTGGGGTCAACGTTTTGCTCTCAATCTCTTTTTTCTTACCCTATTTTTGTGGATCTTGTAATGACCTTGTCCGCACCACTCCATGAAGGAGTGCGCAGAGTTGGTCTACTACATGTTTCTAGCGCTACAAAGTAGGGTAATGGGAGGTGGTATGATGCTACAATTATGCTGCTTTGTAGTATAAATATATGCTGTTAGCAGGTTAGAAAATCGCAAGAAAGAGAGCAATACTGCATTCGAAAATACTGCTGCTGTTTCGAAAATACTGCTGCTGTTTCAAAACTGCTTCTTTCAATTTTCTTTCCGTAAGCTTGCATAATATAAATTGCCCGTGTCCGTTCTGTTTTGCCGGTCGAAAGCATACGACTCAATCCCTGGTCGTGAATGTTTTTAAGGCAGTGTGATACACACGATACAGAACCGTGCCTTTGTCTTTTTCGCTCCAAAGCTTTCATCCACAGTGCAGGAAAAAACCCAACACAATCTTCAGAAGCCAATAACAAACTAATCTCAGAATCAGAATTTAAACAGGGGGAGTCCTTTCCTAAGGTAGGATCCTCCCTTTGCCTGCAACCTCCCTCCACATTATATGTCTTAAGAGATTGCATCCATTCTGAGTTCATTCCCAGAGCTTCATACCCACACTAATTAACAGACTAGCAGAACTGCTCCCAGAATATCAGATCTCTCACTCTTAAAAAGACAGGAAAGATATACACTCTCAAACATACTCCATCATTAGATAAACTGATTAGACACACGGACCAAATATGAAATACGACCTAGGTAAAAACTTACCAGTAGCTATTTGTGACGTGGAACACTTCTCGAGCATGAAACTATTTATTCATAACTTCATCTACAAATTGTTAGAGCATTTTATGCATTCACAATATTCTCTCCTCAAGCCCACAATGTTCTCTATATCTTCTGCTACTCTTCAATTTCACTATCTTATACAAACAGATTGTTTGTAAACTATAGATAGTATAACAAAAATTTAACGCAATATCACAGACCCAACACTGAATTCCACTCTCAAACACCAAGCTACACCAAAAACACAGCTAAACAAATACAACAAAATCAAACAAATACACAAATCATATATAAAAAAGAACACACACACAAAACCCATACGAATCCGAAATTCAAAAAAAAAAAAGTGAAAATTGACGTGGAACAGCAGCCGACGAGGTCGCCGGACGTGCGCGCTTAGCGTTCCGAACAACGGTGCCGGCCATCTCAGATGGGAAGTTAATCGACGAAAGGGAGATAGCGACGTTGGACTCTGAACACTACCTACGGTGAACTCCTACAGCGAAAGGGAGGTAGCGACATTTCAGTGAAAGACTCTCACTGTCACACGCAAGATGATATCCACTGTCCAAATTACCCCTACACGGCTCTAACAAGCGCATAACAGAAAAATTTAAAACAATTAAATCTGCACCGTAGATTGATTCAAATAAATGAATTAGATTAGTTCTTACGTTCCTACCTAACAATGGGTTCTCATATGATTTTTATTCTCTCTCTCTCTCTCTCTCTCTCTCTCTCTATATATATATATATATATATATATATATATATATATATATATATATATAATGAATATGATTATCCGTTAAATATTATCTTTTTCGTTAATTTATGTTATTTCACCGTTAACTTACCCATTGAATTCAATAAGAAAGGTCTTAGGTTCGAACTTCATCACAATCAAAGTTGGGATAATTAGTACTCTATTTTACTTTTATTAAATTAAATAATAATTTAATAGCTACAACAAAAATAATACATATGCATTTCTTTAATTTAGAATTATGTGTCTACAATGTCTTTATTCAGAAAAAATTATTCATTATCAATAAATTAAATAAGAAAAATAATTTCATTAGTTATATTGTATTTATTTTTCTCCAATATAAAAATTATTTACATTCAAATTCATCAATCGATTATATTCGCTACATTGTCCCTACAGTGTCTTTATTAAAAAAATTATTCATTATCAATAAATTAATTAAGAGAAATAATTTTATTAATTATATTGTCTTTATAATTCTCCAATGTAAAAATTCTTTACATTCAAATTCATCAATGGATTATATTCACTACATTGTCTATTATTTTTTTGTGCACTATTTTTTAATTAAATATCAAAGTTATAATACAAAATAATGCTATATATTTATTTACCAAGTATTTTATTAATATCGTGAAAAAAATTTAAAAATATATAATAAATAAATTCAATCATATTAACTACTTGAGCGATTTGTTGACAAAGAGAGTATTGAAATCACTGAACAAATTGAAGTGAGAACTACCTCGCAATGTCCTTGTTTGACAATTAGCAGTTAGCGGTTAGCATTAGCGGATTTGACCAGTGAATTATATCAACGGTTGGTAAAAAGATATTTGAAAAAATTAACTGTTTAGATTAACATGTAAAATGGCCTAAGGGTATACATATATTTTAATAATAATAATAATAATAATAATAATAATAATAAATAATAATAATAATTATTATTATTATTATAATAATTATAATAATAATAATAATAATAATAATAATAATAATAGTTTAAAAAAATAAAAATATATAATTAAGCTCAATCATATTAACTACTTGGGGAATTTATTGACAAAAAGAGTATTCAAATCACACAACAAATTGAAGTGGAAAACTATCTCGCAATATCCTTGTTTTGCAATCAGCAGTTAGCTCTTCAATATTAATATATATTTAATATTTTATGCCTAATTTTTATTTGCTCTCTCTTATGTCCCGTATTTGGTTTCAACCATACCTATACAATTATTTTATTGACAATTATAATCAATCTTGACTATATTATCTTACATTTGTAAACTTAGAATTACCTATTTAAATATGCAAATTGAACATTCAATTATCTATGAATGAACAATTTCAATATAATCTTGCATTGATATACTTTAAAGTACTTATTTTTTTTTTAAAACAAAACATTGGGCAATTGCGCAATGCGCGTAAAAAACTAGTTATAACTATACTGTAAAAATAATTGTTTGACAATATTTAATATAATGGCCCAATTTGGTAAAATAGTTAACCTATAGGCAAATTTTAGTTTATTTGACCACTATTAATTATTTGACTTATTTTAAAAATCAATATAAATGTTTGGTTAATTTGCTTTTTGTACTCCAAAATGCTAAAATTTAAAAAGCTACTCAAAATAACTTTTTCAATTAAATTTTTAAGAAAAAAAATTATATTAAACATCTATCAGCTAACAACTAATTTATCAAGCACCATTTTACAATCAGCTAATATTATAAATTATTTATAATCTTTAATTAACACAATCAGCTAACACCAAATAAGACCATGCAAATGACATTTGGTATAAAAGTTAAAAATACCTTTCATAAAACTCCCTTACAATATATGGCATTATAAGAGCCGTTGAAATTTTCTCAAATATTATTGGCTTATTGCCGATATTTTTCTTGGTATTCGGTCAGCAATGATGTCACAGAAGGCACATTCAGTCATTACATATCACACGATCTTTTAATTCCGATCCTCACGGTCATGCCAAATCCATTGAGGATGATGTTAACAACCCAATATTCAATAATGTTTTTTTTTTTTTTTTTTTAATATTTCTCTCAAGCATTGGTCGAGAAATTTTATTAAAGACATAATTTTTTTTTTTTATTATTACTATTAAAGACATACTTTTAATAATAAGGTGAATTCAATTTTTTCTCTCAAAATGTTGAATCCTCAACTCAAAGAACTCGCACACCCCGATCCGACAAAATATGACTCAATAATTCAATAGACAAGATCAAATATCGATGTGTACAAGGGATCTGTCCACTTTGGACATAATTCTCACACTGCCGCGGCAGGGGTTCAAACCTAGCTTGATCTCTTTTACCAAATACTGCGTACTGAACTGGTGAGTTAAACCCGTGTGTATAAAGTGAATTCAATTTCTGACACAAACATTAGCAAAAATGTACAGTTTGATATTGAGTCTCATAATTTATTTCTTAATGAAAAGGGGCGGGTTTGAACATTGCAAATGCAAGTTTGAGTTTGAACTCTTTGTGTGCAAAAATGTTAATTCCTTCGACAAAAACTAAAAACTATTTTGCTCAACATACACGTAGTGACAATTACATTCATTATCATTTATCACCCCGTGGGACCCACCCTCCCCAAATGTCAACCTAAAAAATTTAATTAAAAAATAAACGTCATTAGTGCATAAATTATCACGCTTAATCCTAAAGATTATAACAGTTGACGTGTACGTATCCCCAACTTTCAAGCATAAATAGCATCCAACGCCCAGAGAATATAATGCAAGCAACAATATAGTTTGGGAGAGATATAATATTAGTTTGTTGTGTTTGAAGGGATCGGAGTAAGAGATGTCTTCCGGTTGCAAGTGTGGCTCCGACTGCAAGTGCGGCAGTAACTGTGGGTAAGCTTCCCGGCCGGCGGCCGGCCCGATCAACCACCATCATCTTATTTTTTCATACCAGATGAGAACAATAAGATTTGATCGAAACTAATTCTATTATTTGGATATATATATATATATAGAGAGAGAGAGAAAGAAAGAGAGGTGTAACTTACTATTAAGTTGTATAGCTCAATTATGGATTACAATTTTGATTCTTTTTTTTTTTTTCTTGGTAGATGTGAAGAGGTGACCACCACCGTTACCATCATCAAGGGGGTTGCACCGGTGAAGTTGTAAGTGAACTTGATCTATTTATCCTTTTTAACATTATTTAAAGGATTAAGGTTTCGATTTATGCCTTTTGTATACGATAAAATTATACATGATATGTCTAGTTGTATTGGATACTATGGAGATTAATCTGTATTTAGTTCAATCTAAATAGCATATATGGTTGTACTCGGTATAAAAGATATACATACATCTGCACCAGTGAAGTTGTATGTGAATTTCCATGATCTATTTATCCTTTTTAACTTTCTTTAAGGGATTAAGGTGTCAATTTGTGTCTTTTGTATAGGATTCAACTACACATGATATATCTCATTGTATTGGATATTATGGAGATCGATTTGTATTTGATACAATCTAAATACCATATGGTTATATTCGGTACAAAGATGTACATACATCGACACTAATGAAGTTGTATGTGAATTTCTATGATCTATTTATCCTTTTTAACATTCTTAAGGGATTAATTAAGGTGTCGATTTGTATCTTCTGTATACGATATAATTATACATGATATGTCTAGTTGTATTGGATACTATATATGGATATCAATATTTGGTACAATATATGGCTATTCTCGGAACAAAAGATCTTAAAATATCTAATTTTTATGAGTGGAAAAAATATTTTATTTGTTTTTAATGTTGGGATTATATTGCAGGAGCTTAGAGGGATCTTCTGAGAAGGCTACAGAGGGGGGACATGGCTGCAAATGTGGATCAAACTGCACCTGTGACCCTTGCAACTGTTAGGGCTAAAATAGTGCAAATATAATAATCACCCCTTCAAGCTATGTATGGATAGATCGGAGCATGTCTTATTAGGGTTTGTCTAAATATATATATATATACATATCTGTGTATGTACTGATGATAATTAATGGATGGGGCTTTTGCAGTGATGATATATGATGAGTGTAATAATAAGCAGATTGCAGATGATGAGTTGTGCAGATCTTTGTTGAAGTGTCACTTAGATTTGTGTGATTCATTTATGTTTGGAATGTGTGGTTGCTTGGGTGTTTGGACTTTATCCTTAATGTATATTGAAAGAGGTTGACTGTACTGTATTGAACTAAAATGGTATCAATAATGTATGTTGTGTAACTCATTTTGTGTATATTCATTTAATATTACATAACCAGCTTTCTTAGCGTGCAGTCTCATCTTTTAAAAGAAGTTGCAAGTTCAAAACTCCTTTTTTAATTGAGCCGGCCTGTTGCGAATGAGAATTAGTCTGAGTATAACAAATTATACCATGAACTAACATATTGCAAATACAGAATTTTTGGACCAGAGTCCATAATACAGGATGGACCTTGGTCCATGGTATAACAATTATCTGATTATGATTGTATGATATGTGTGTCTAATTAATAATTTATGTTTTTAGTTAAGATGGAACATGTCATTCAGTTTGGTATTAGAACTAAGCTCATACCACAAGTTAGCTAGTATTTCTGACAAATTTTGAATGTCATTCGTGATAATATTGAAACATAATTATTTTAATCTTTACTTTTAGAATTATATAATTTAACTCGATGAAGAATTCAATATAAAACTTGATCCAAAATGCGACTAACAACATATTATAGAATCCCAGCAAGAAACCACACAACATAATTCTATGAAATCAATAATATTATTTGAAAAGTTTCTTGTTTTTATGATTTTATCATCCAATTAGCCCTACTTACTTCCCCTAGAGGTAAAACTAATTAAACATCCTTCATTATTAATCTCTCAATCAAGAACATTTTTATAATAAAAGTGGTTGGAAATTTCTTGGAAATTCAGCACACGCCAAAGTCTTAGTGGGCACAGCAAAAGTTTGATGATTGGTGATAAAAATGTATGATTGTAATAATGACATTTCCCTTGATAAATAACATTATTGGCATATGAGGCAGTCACATCTCACTGAAAAATTCAAGTATACTTTTAAGAGGCTGTTTGGTAAAGTTCCAACCTTCCTAAGGTAAGGATGGCTTGATTTTTATTTTTATTTTTACTTTTGGATAGCTAATTATTGTTTTTTTTTTTTTTTTTTTTTTTTTTTTTTTTTTTTTTTTTTTCATTGCTAGCTTTTCATTGTTTTAATTAAAATATATTTTTAAATAACACACATCCGCCACACAACCGCCACATCCGCACCTAACAGAACCTCAATCACATCTGTATAATTATATTGGTGGGGGTAGTGTGACAACCCAAAAATAATTTTCCTAAATTCTATTTTATAAAATTTCAAATAGCTATTTTCACTCTTTCAAAAAAAAAAAATTATTTCGAAAACGGTGTATGAATTAAATATTTATTTTAACCGAGTTTTTGAATAAATTCAACACCAAGAATATCCTATTTCGAAAATCCTAAGTTTCGGGTACATTTATGTACCAAGTTTTGACCCAAAAAGTCAATCTGAGTGAAACCTGAGAGGAACATGTGAAACCTGAACCAAGTGTTTTAACTAGAAACTATTTTCAGAAAATCTTTTTTTGACCCCAAGTTGTTTTAAATCATTTTTGAGACCTTGGTCCATGATACAAGGTGAACCTTGATACTTCTACAAGCTTTGTATGATATTTGAGAAGCAAGCCAAATTACCTCTTTGCCCTCAACCAATCATTTGAGTTCTACCTAAGTTTTGAACCCTATTTATTCCTCACTATTCCATTGAGCTTTTTGATCCCTTTCATTTGCCTCTCCACTCTCTAAGTCTGCCAAGGAGAAAGAAGAAACACAGTAAGAATTCCAAGCTTTCATCTCATCCATTCATTTCATATTTCCTTCTAGTTTTCCATCCTTTGCCTTCAATCTCTGAGTTGCTTCCTTAAGCTTTGTTTGGGGAGTTTAGGTGGTGAAGGGGGTATTAGCTAAGTAGAGAGAAAAAGGGGATCCACACAAGAAGAAGAAGAAGTACAAGGTATAAACCATGGACTCCCAAACTAGATTTTTGGCTCTATTAAATGCTAGAAGTATGAAATAAATGTTTAAAATGCTAGATAATGCTTGTTGTTGAGCTATTTGTGTGCTGTTGATGATCTATGATTGATTTATTGAGGTTTGGAAGTGTTTTTGTTGATCTGAGAAGGCTACAGGTGAAGAAGAAGGGGTCTGGTGCACACAGATGGTGCACCAGTAAACCCAACGGACCTAGGCGTGGTCCGTTGGCTAGTTCCGTAGAGGAGTGGACTAAGGCAACAGATCCCAACTGGATCCGTTGCCAAGCGGCGGGGTTTCACAAGCCCCGCCACCAAGCTCTGCCAGGCCAAAATATGGTTCGGGCCGAGCCCTCTGTGGCTCAACTACGTGTCGTTCAGACCGGGATTCATGGGCCCTTGAGGCTCGGACACCCGGGCTGGTTACGACGCACTAGTAGAAGTTAGTTTCGTTGGATTTGGAGTTAGAAAGCATGTTATACAGTTAAAGTTTGAAGATGAATGCTCTGTTGTTTGTTATTTGTGAACTTATATCAGTAAATGAGTTTGTAGTATTTGAGTATTGTTATTTGATTGAGAAGCATGTCTAAATACTTGATAGTATTTGTTGGGAAGTTTTACTAAGTTAATGAGAGTTTGGCATGAACAGTGCATTATTTCCTTGTTTTACAGTGAATGAGAATTAAAGCATATTTCGCAGTAAAGAGCATGTTAGCTTATTTAAAGGTTTAAAGTGCATAAATTGCTCTAAGTAAAGCTTAAGATCTATTTCAAAAATCTATATCTGTTTTGGAAAATCATTATCTATTTTGCATTGAGAAGATTGCATGATGTTTGATTTTCAAAATGTGAGAAAGAGAAGTTGTTGAGATTTCTGTGCATAGCAAGGCTTGTATAAGTTAAAGTTTGTTGCATGAAAAGAGAAATTGCATGAGAAACAAGTTGCATGAGATATATCTATATGCTATCTATTGTGAGGAAAATAGAGTTTTGGAGACCCTTTAGGACTATGTCCTTTCAGAAGAAAAGAGAAAGAAAGAAAGTTTGAGAAAGGAAAGAAAAGGTCAAAGAGGACCGATAGTTTTTATGAAGTAACTTGGTCGATATTCCCGGGTTGCTAGGTTTGATACTACCCGCCGGGCTTTGAATCCTGGTTAGGGGGTGTGCACACTGACAAGTACGATACTTGATTCTACGGAGATTGTGATAAGAACCAAGAGAGTGGTTTTGTGGACGAGATGAGTATTAGGCCGGCTAGATGCCGAGTCCGGATAGGTTCGTTCACGATTCGTGAAGTTCCTACCTCGCTCGCGAGTACAGAAAGAAAGCAAGAAAGTAAAGAAGAAAAAAGCGAGTCAAGAGACTCAAGAGAAAGAAGAGAAAATCGAGTCTATGTGACTCAACAGAAACCTCCACAAAAAAAATATTTCTTTTTACATAAGAGCGCGAGAGTGTGTGTGTGTCTATATATATATATATATATATATATATATATATATATGTATGTATGTATGTATGTATGTATGTATGTATGTAGTTTTCTAAAGTAAGGGAAATGATATGTAATTGAAATATAAGTTTTATTTGAGAAAAGATAGGTAGATAAATATAATCATATATTTGTAAGTTGAAAAAGGAATATAATTATAGACAAGGGTATCAATGGTACCAAGTTGAACTTTTACATGGAAGGTTGTGGGTTTGAACTTCAATGGAGGCGCTATTAACTCTCTGTGCTTCAGTAGGTTGAATGTTAAACTTTATATAGGCAAACACATTTGTATGAAAACTATTCTTAAATCAGTCTCATAGACTTACATTGAACATTTCAAGCCATATAACATTAGAGGTTGCACCCATAATGATTTAAACTCATATATAACATGTTCAACACTTATAGCAATTCATATTTGGACCACACTTAATAAAAATAATAGATCATGTTTTAATTTGAAAATAGATTTTGTACACATAGCATATTAATAATTTGGCTCAATCGGATCAAGTCCCGAACCTCACGAGTCACCCGGATCCGCAAACCAAACCGTGACCGAACACTTAGTAGTAAAACACTTGTGTTCTGCTACAGGGCCCTATGATCGCACGGGACTAGGCGGAAAAACTTTGGGTTCTACCGTGGAGTCCCGCGGCGATCATGGATGTGGTTGACAGGCCCTAAAGGCCTGCCACTACATCCTACCACGAATGTGCGGGGCTGGCCGACGGGCTTCCCAGGATGAGTTAGGGAAAAGATTATCAATTGAATAACAGAACCATAGTTACATTAATACTCTCACAGAGAGAGAACTATCTTCTAGGCTAGAGACTAGATCACTAACAGATTATTACATAACTAACTATATATATTAATAGCATAGTATATAATAATAACATAGTCTAATACTCCCCCTCAAGCACAAGGTTGGTGAGAAACCACATTGAGCTTGCCACGCAGAGTTGCGAACCGCGTTGCTAGAAGCGGTTTGGTGAAAATATCTGCTAGCTGATCCTTGGTAGACACAAAATGAACTTGAAGCTCTCCAGCTGAAACTTTGTCTCGGACAAAATGGTAGTCAACCTCAACATGTTTGGTACGCGCATGAAACACTGGATTCGCGCAAAGATATGTCGCACCTAGATTGTCACACCATAGCGTGGGCGTATAGACAGGCCCTAATCCGATATCTCGTAGCAAGGACACAACCCAGGCAACTTCAGCACACACATCTGCAAGACCCTTATACTCTGCTTCAGTCGACGAGCGTGCGACGGTGCGCTGTTTCCGAGAGACCCAGGAGACAAGATTCGTGCCGAAGAATACTGCATACCCACCAGTGGACTTGCGATCAACAGGACAACCGGCCCAGTCTGAGTTGGAGTAGGCATGAATATCCGAGACCCCCGAAGCCATAAGGCGTAGCCCGTACTCTAGTGTTCTTTTAATATAACGAAGAACTCGCTTCAGTAGGCCCCAGTGCTCATCGATCGGTGAATGCATGAACTGGCAAAGTCGGTTGACAGAATATGACAGATCCGGCCGAGTGATGGCGAGATACTGAAGAGCCCCGGCTAGGCGGCGATATTGCGTTGGGTTGTCGAAGGAGTCAGTGGACTGACACACGGGTTGAGTCACAGAGGCCGGAGTGGCTAACGCCTTTCAATCTGTCATGCC